TTGTGGATGCTCTGATCCCGGAGATGTTAAAGGCCAGGTTGGATGGTGCCCTGGGCAACCTAGTTGAGTACCAAATGTGGAGATGTGTGGCCCTGCCTGTGGCAGGGGGGTTGGAGCTTGAGTTGGAACTCCTTGGGGCCCCTTCCAACCTCAGCTATTCTATGACTGTTTTATGGTTACCGCTCCTCTTTTGTTGTGTTCTGGAAGATGCTGTGCTGTGTATGAAGGGTTTCTGCTCGGCGACCTCCACTGGTACAGGGGAGGAGTAGGTAGTAAGAAAAAAAGAACAAAATGTTCATCGTGCTATTATCAAGGTGTAGCAAAGCAATCCCTGAAGGCCCATCTGATTGGAAATGTCCTTTCTCTTCCTTTTTGCACAAACAAACAGGAAAACGTTTGGAGCTGCCTGAGCTGGGCACCAATGAGGCCTGTCATCACTAGCCTGTGTAAAAAATTGGAGATCACAGGACTTTACAAGCCTTCAAATTTATATTTGCTCTATACAGAAATATAAATGTAAAATTTGATGTCAAGTAGATGTTGGGAAAAAAAAAAGCTGGAATTTTGTGTATACTAGATTTTTGTGTGTTGCAGCAGAGCAAATTAGTAATAATGTCATTTACTAATGCAACTACCTTTTTTAGCAGGAGTTAAGCAGATATTAATAATGTGGTTTTGAAAATCCTATGGACTCACTTTGTGCTTTCATTGCTTAGTAAAATTAACTACTTCTGAAGAAATTGGCCCTAAGATTCTGAGTAGGAATGTACTTCCCATTACTAAATTTCCCTTCATATTAGTCTTGAAATGTTTACAGTTAAGTTCTTGGTTGAATAATGTTGACTTTTCTGAATGAAAACATGAAGGAGGAAGAATTTTTCTGTTTGTTGACATCATAGAAGAAGACTTCTTTGAGGAAGATGACCTTTCTGAAACTTAAGATATTTATAAGGGGATCTGCCTGAGGCAAAGTAAAAGAGAAATCTAAATACTTGACAGTACACAGTCTAACATTCACTGACTGAGCTGAAGAAGAGGCATACAAGATGCTGCAGGCAGCAGGTGTGAGTATCCAAGCTGACCAACATGTGGAAATTACGTTTAAGTCCAATCCATATGAGCAGCTAAGAAAGAGCTGAATTCCTCTGTTCTGGATGTGCTGGACTGTTTCAGCCACATGTGCTCTGTATTTATATATGTCCAAGTATGTGTGCACAGATCTCCTTCCCGGGAGTGGAAAGAGAACAGCAGAGGAAGACGGACAAGTTCTTTGAAAAGCGCCTGAACAACGCCCAGTGGGATCATTGGGTTTGAGGCCAGCAGTGGGAATAGGAGCACCTCATTTAAGCTCCCGTTGAATTGTTCATGATGGAAAGCATTTTCCTCTCTATTGCCTCAGTGCACGTAGGCTCCATGGTGCTAATTCCTGAGTTGCAGTGTTCTTGTTTGCTCAGTGTTTGCACAGCTTTGGCACCTGTTTTATTGAGGACTGCTGATAGGGGATCTCCAGGAGGCACACAGAGGTGCAGAGGAAACATTTATTCCTGCTGCTTTGCTGCTCTTGTCCTTTGTGACTAATTTGTTCTCTTTCTCTCACCTTTCTGCTGTATTTCTGTAACTTAAAAAATAAGGTCACCTAGGCTTTTATTTTAATATCACTTAGTGCCCTTTCTGAATGTTTTTTTTTTCCCTTCAATTTATAGCTCACTCTCTGAAGAGATTTACTGCGAGACTGGCCACTAGTAGATCCTATTTGCTAATTAAAAAAAAATTGACAGATCTTATAATTAGACTTTAAAATGTTAGGTATGCATCCAATGTTTTTCTTTCTTAAATAAAAATCTACCAAAACCCTACACAGAAGTGACAGCTCCCTTTCCATATTAGGGAAGTGGTAACATTGACCCATTTTTACCTTAACATTAATTAAACTGTCATAAGGAGTCTGTGATGCTGTTGGCAGGTGCTCTGCAGGATGCGGTCTCCTGTAGTAACTCTCAGTACAGTACCCTGCATGTCATTAGTGTAGATGTTGACTGGGTGAGACAATAGCAGCTGGGACTTAGGAATACTGGAGTTGCTGCTGGTTTTGTCGGGTTGGGTGTGTGGTGGAGATGGGCGGCCTTCAGGTGACTGATTTGCTCCTGGGATGGGAAGTCCTGAAGTGGTTCAAGGCTAACTTTGCATTAGCTCTTAATATGTGAGCCAATGACAGAGCAAAGTGGCTTTGCTGGGCTTTTGTGCAAAATAACCCAGGGGACTGGAGACAGGAATGTAGCTTCAGTAGCTCAGAACATTCCAGTAAGTCACTCACAGTGATGGAGTCACATCTGCAAATGTTTGCAGAATCAAGCCTCCCCTTCATCTGTGATAAGGGTTTAGAAATGTAGACACCAGTTGTGGATTTTTAAATAGATTTAATTGCATCTTCTTAGGTTTCATTGTTGGCCTGTGAAAGCTTTCCTGTGGCTTTTAAAGACCCCTTCTAAAATCAGCCATGATAAGATACCTCTGGATTTTGAAGCTTAGCTTTACCCAAAGCCACATCTGACTTTTCTGTGTGTCTTTCCTATTTAACTACAATTAACTCGAGCTGAACTTTATCTCAGCCTAGGAATAGCTGTCTGTGGGATGGTAGCACATGAGCTGGATGGAGGGGAGGATGTGCCTGTTCACGGGTGTGCAAGGTGGCACCAGCCCATCTGTGGTGCTGCAGAGCCAACATCCCTCTGCTGGCAGAAGGACTGGCACAGGTATGTAGAAAACGTGATTACTTTTGAGGTGTCAGACTGTGTTGGAGCAGTCCTGGAGCAGCTGTGGTTAGGCTGTGGTTATGTTCCCTGCCTTCCTTTGACCAACCTGCCCCAGGCCTCCTCCTTCTGCTCCCCACCCCTGCCTAGAAACTTCCTCTAACCCCCCGAGCAAAAGCACAGTCGGCAGCTGACACAAAAACCACTTAAAAACCCTAAACCTTAACTTGTGGTCACCTGGAGACTACCACAAAAATGATGATCCCTTTTGTGAAACCACATGCATGGTTATCAACTACAAAAGATACTGTGGAAAAGGATGGGAAAAAAAACATGCCACAAAAAGGAGAATTGTTGGACTGAAGTCAGATATAAGTCTGGAAAAACTAAAATAGAAAAGCTAAAGTTGTCTGGAAAAGCTAAAATAGAATTTAGGCTTTCTGACGTAAATCCAGCCCTAAGTTAGGCTGCATGGTGAGTGTGGAAGGTGATGTTGGTTTCTTTTTTTTTTTTTTCTAATATTCCAGAAAATGGGCCACCCTGCCTCAGCACATCCTGCCGTTGCACCAGATATGCTGCCTGGTACAGTCCTGAAGGCAGCAGTAAATCCCCAGCAGTTATCCTCTTACACAAATGGCAGAGGTCTCTCACAGCAGTGACAACCAAGGGTATTTTAACCAGCAGTGTCGACAGGGACAATTTATGGCCTATTGTGTGAATGCAGCTGCTGAGCATTCGTACCCTGCCGCCATCTTGACATTCCTGACTATTTTTGATTACTGATTTTGACAAAGGATGTTTAACAAGAAGACCTTCATATCACAACACATTTTTCCTCTCGGCCATTTGTACTTTTTCCCTTCTCTGTTCTCTTCCACCAGTTTTCCTTTCTTTCCATACCTCTCACACTTACACGCATCTAGGAAAAAAAAAAAAAAGGTGTTGGAGGGAAAAATGAAGCTAAAACAAGCATCACATGGCATAAATAAAATTCAGTAACAGGAGTGTTTTTTCAGCAAATATTTTACATAGAACAGTTTCAAAAGTAATGTATTTCCTGTGTTTACTGCTATAGTTGAAAGTCTCTTTACTCAGTCAATGAATAAAGAGTTATACCATGTTTTTAAATGCTATCCTTTCCCCTAAATGCCATCCTCCACTTTTAGGGTCTGTGAAGAATGAGGCTCACTACAGAAAGGATGCTCAGTGTGCTCTGCTGTGAGATTACGCTTATTGGGACTGTAAAGCTGGGGAGATACTATCTTTGCACAGTTACATTCTGCTTTATTAAGTGATAATTTACCTTTTAAGGCTGGCCGTAAGCACCTCACGAAGGAGGATCAGCCACCCTTCATGGGCTGAAGGATACATGCAGGGCTGAGAAGGAGACTGCCCTGAGTTCTCTGGTTGTCGTGATATTACTTTTCTCCCTTGTTGTATCACACAAAGTCTTTTTTTTTCCTGCTGTTTTACTACTTACTGATGAGATTTCCTGGTAACAAGAGTCCATATTATGTTTATCTCTATTACAACACAGATTAGAAAGGACAGAATGACAGAAAACACCCCATAGGGTTCTGAGCACTAGGTGGAAAGCAGTAGTAGGTTATGTTCTCAGGACGGTGGGGTGTGGTAGTGAGGAAAAAGGGGCTTGTGTGTTCTTCCATCTGCAGTTTTCTGGAAGCACCTGTGGGCATCCTGCGTGACTTCAGCCATTGCCAGGCATTCATTTTGGAGCCACCAGCCCTGCCATTGCTGAGTGATGCCTCAGTAACCAAGTGTCTGTGGGAGAAAGAACTGATACAAAGCAGCTCCTACCCTGTGTTTAGTACAGGCTTCCTCCATTTCTTGTCACTCCTGCTGGGAGCCTCAGCCTGCAGGAGAATTTTTGGCATGGCAGTGATTGACAAAGCCATGATGTACTGTCAGGGAGGCTGCGTTTTAGAAATAAAGTTGCTTTGAGGAACTGCAATGGAACAGCTTCCATTGAGCAGCTGCTAAACAGAAAGTTGCTTTCAAATACAGCAGTGCTCGTTCTTTCGCCACCCTTTTCTGTCCCTTTCTCCATCTGTATTTCTCTGGGGAAAGAGGCCTCATTTAATTCCTGGTCCATGTTTTTCTTCCCTTTCCCCAGTCCCTGCCTTTCACCACTGAAACATCTCAGCAATGCCAGGAGGCTGGTATGCCCCAGGAGGTTAAGAATAGTCTACAATGGGAAAGATCCCTCCTGTTGTTGTTCGTCTGCTTGCAGTTGTCTGGACAGAGGATCCACGAAAGAGGTAAGTGCAGTGGGATCTGAACAGACAAAACTTTTCCAAGGCAGATTTAAACCCCTGGGAAGATTTGTTCCCATAATCAGAACTATCAGCCTTGTTCAAATCATCAAAGCAATCCAGCACCAGTAACACTGTTTGGGCTTTATTTCTTGCTTTTATCTTTGATGCTTATCAAATTTATTTCTTCTTTCTTTATTCCCTAAGTCTGACCTACCTGGGAAATGCCAAACCAGCTGAGCCATCAGGAGCTGTGAATCTGATCCAACATGGAGCACTGGGACTCGCTGGGATTTTTGGTTGTCACTCTCAATTATAATGTGTCAATTATAGGTGAGTACTTTAAAACTACTCTGCTCTTTCTTTTGCTGCTCCTAGCCTGAAGCTAAGTAAATGTCCACTAGATTGGACAACTGAGCATTGACATTGGTCATCTACTTTGATTTCTAGTTATGCTTTTGTGACCTTTGAAGAAGAAATTATTATTTGCATATGTGATGCAAAAGTGGTCAATGTGTTTCTTTTTTTTTAAATTGACTCCTACTTCCTCTCTGATGGACATTTTCTGAGCTTTAGGAAAGAATTCTGGCATACTTTTCAAATTTGGCTTTTGATGCCCAAGCTTCACATCAGCTGTAGGGAATGTTATATGGATTGTTGTGAAAACACTCAAAAATAATTCTTCATTAAGAAGAGAAAAAGCTTCTCTTTTACAGGAAGACATTTGCCTGTGGTTAATTACCATATTATGCTTATTCTTCATTTTTATAAATGAGTAAAGTTCACATGCATTAAAAATAAACAGAAAACAAACAAGCACAGTCTGTTTTTTGGCAGCAAACGGGGCTGAGTGATTCTTTTCTTCTTATTTAAATGAGACATCCTCCCTCTTCCACAGGCTGCTTGGAGTGAAGTGTGAGTCAGATAAAACCTCTTCAGTCCCACCTTCACTCCCACCACGGGCAGGGGCTGCAGTTTGTGCTGCGTGCTGCAGGGGCAATGAGGACTGAGCCATTAGGGAAGGTGATAGCTGGAGGGTTCCCTCTAAAATGAATGTCATACTGAACTGCTTCCTAAGGAGCCATTGATTTTTTTTTTAAACAGCACTCCCTATTGTACATGTTCTAATTAAAAATGGATAGGGAAATGGCATTTAGTATCTTGATCTTAATTAACAAATGTGCTTCAAACACTCTGAGGTCCTCACAGGGAAAAAATGCAACCTCAGTATGAGGCATCGCTTTCTAAAGGTGATGCTTCTTTACAGCTGGTGGTTTTTATTGGCCAACACTGCCAAAAACAGGGCAACAGCACAGCCTGCACAACAAAATACAAGGAGCTGAAAATACAGCAAAACCACTGCTAAGTTTCAAGTGATTAAAGATGAAATGGGAAGACCTCCATTTATTTAGATAGTACATTATTTTGCCTGGAGCAGCAGGCTTCTGTGAGTGCAGTTTTACTGACCCAATCCCGTAATCTGTCCATTAGCCACTGAGGGTTTAAATGGGGCATTCAAGTTGTATGTCCCATGTGATAATAGATATTAAATAATACTACAGAAAAATGTGGACAATTAAGATTTTTACCAACTACAGTGAAATTGTTCCATGGGAAATGGCAAAAAATGTTGTTCAAGACAATACTTGTAAAAAACTGTATTTCATAGAAAAAAAAGAGTTTGGGGATCTGATCTTCTTTCAGGATATGCACCGGTGCTGTTTCACAAATTTTGTGCATGTGAGATGTACAATCACTATTTGTGACTTAAGGTATCCAGTGCATTTCTCAGCTGTTAACCGCTCATGGCACGGCTTCCACGTAGTTGCCGAGTTGCCATTTGTGCATCTACTTCTTAGCTTTTTCTTTTGATTTGAACAATCAATTCCTTCAAGTACATAATTAAACTCATTGCTCTTTTCTGTTTGTTTTGTGTGTTTGTGTGGTTTTTGTTGTTCCTATTTTTTTTTTTCTTTTTCTTTCCTTTCTTTTTACTTTTTGACGTGTTTTAAAAATACATGAAACTAAAGCAGAGGATTGTTAAATTAAAAGAATTTTTCAAAACCGCATACAAAAGCAGTGACAATACTCAAAAGGAAACTTGAGAAACTCAAGTGCTAAACTTTACTTCAAATGTTGAATTTTTCTGTGTATTTTTGTGCTTTGACCGTATAACAGATTGTTTTCAGACTTCCCAACCCAGCTCAGGAAAAGCACTTCTGTGTTAAAAATAGCTTTGCCATCCATACAGCAATTTCTGTAACTTTACCAAAAAATCTTTATGAAAAACCTACCCCATCCAAAACTCCTTCAAGAAACTCTCATGAACAACAAAGTCACATTCTCAATATGTGACATGCAGGGTTACAGTTCCTGATTTTTCAGTATTGCTGGCGCGATGGAATAAGGTTAAGTTTTGATCTCTCCCTGATTAAAACAACCGTTTGAAACAATTCAGTAAAAGACAAATAAAAGTGTATGGAAATGCCAGACCTGTAAGGCTTTACTTGGTGTTAATACAGGAGGGAGCTTTTGGTCTGAATGGAGACAGACAGCATGCCAAGGTGCAGGATGATGGGGAGGTATGCTCAAGACAAGGCAACCAGAGAAGTAATACAGAGAAATGACAGGGTTCTTGTGTGAACACACAAATGCACATTTGTAGTACATTTTGAATAAGCTTCCTGGTAGCACCTGTTAGCTAGCTCATGAGTAAATACCAGTCTAGACACTGCAGTAAGCTTTACATATGATTTCATGGCCAAGATAAAGAACAAATGCTACATCACTCAACAATTTTTGGGATCTACAGGAGTTTCATGCCATATTAGCTGATCAACATCAATACAGTACAAAAATCCAGGTGCAGAAGTATGAAACCAAGCAAAATGGGAATTCTCACACAATTCATTTTTTTACCAGATTTGGGCATGTTCAGAGTGTTATTGTTAGGCAGCATTTTCAGTTTGCGTGGCTTACTATATGTCAGACTCCTACACTGTCAAGTCTAGACGAAAGTTATGGAATATGCTGGCTAACACATTCACACAAGTTTCAGTTCCAGCCAAAACAGAGCCAAGGAGGTGCTTTTCAAAGAGGAAACCAACTTCAGAGGTATCCTTTCAAATGCATTGTATACAGAGAGCCTTCACCTACCTTTTCTCCTTCTAGTGCTTTACTCTTTTTCTTTTGTTCTCTTCTAGGAAAGATCTGGCTAATGCTGGTAGTTCTGCTGCGAATGGCAGTGGTGGTGTTAGCAGGCTATCCGCTCTATCAGGATGAACAGGAGCGCTTCGTCTGCAACACCCTGCAGCCTGGATGCTCCAATGTTTGCTATGACTTGTTCTCTCCCATATCTCACTTCAGGTTCTGGTTCATACAGACTGTGTCTATCTTGCTACCTTACACTGCATTCAGTGTTTATGTTCTGCACAAGGTAGCAACGTACATTGTAAGAAAGCACTGTTTGGTGCACGGGTGCAGAGGGAATAAGGGTTTATCAAACCCCAAAGACCTGAAGGAACGCTGTAGGAGTGATCTTGTCAATAGATTGGATTGTGATATGGACAACCTAGATGTCCTCAATTTTTCTGGGGCATACGCTGTTCATCTTTTTTTTAGGACACTGATTGAGGCTGCTTTTGCAGCTGCACAGTATTTCCTCTTTGGATTTTTTGTTCCCGAGCGCTTTTCCTGCTACCATTCACCTTGTACAAGCACAGTTGATTGCTACATCTCCCGGCCCACCGAGAAATCCATCATGATGGTTTTCATTTGGAGTGTCACCAGTCTGTCCTTTCTGCTCAGCCTTGCTGACCTTGTCTATGCTCTTCGACAAATGACAGCAAGAAGCCAGAGGAACAAGCAGCTGGCCAACTCCCACAGAGAGAATGAGGGCCTTTTAAATATTCCCCCAGCACAGTCTGGTAGTTCTTCCTCTCCCCAAAATCAAGACTGCCAAGCACTGAATGGCAGCCAGACCAGCGACGGCTCCTGCTCACTTCTCTCTGAAGAGGAAGAGGAGGCTGCTCTTTATCCTGAAGAGGTCTCTCAGCAAGCTGCCAGCACTAACCTTAACAGCAACAGCCATAAGCCCTGTGTGTCAGGAGATCTTGCTGTTAAGCAGGATAGCATTGAAGAACACCTGTGTGCTGGTGACCAGCAAGGAACTGCATGCCAGCAAGTGAGACCTGGGCTCCAGCAAAGCTTCGTTAAAGATACTGTCATGACTTTGAGACCTCAGATCAAGTCTCACCTTGGAGGTTCTTCCTCTGTAGTTCAGAGCAAGCTTTTAGGATACTGCCCTTCAGCTGAGCTAAAAAATCCCGATGCGCAATCAAATTATAGCAGTACTAGTTGCTTGAGATTGAAAAAGTCCGAATGGGTATAGAGCCCTGAGAGCACCCTATGCTTTGGGCCAGCAGGACAGATTACTGTGCTCCTGAGGGGTGTCAGAAAATCACAAGGGCAGAGACTTGCTGCTTTGCTGTACATGGCTAATCAAAGAAGGAGAAACAAACCTCCGCTGAGCAAGAAGAAAAAGCTCAAATGAGAATTTAAAGGATATTGCATTAACTGAACAGTTTCTATGAAAATATAACACATTTACACTTTTCCAGCTATGACTCTAAAAAGCTGTTGACGGTGACTGACCAGTTGTTCTAGGAGTTCATTTGTACAGTTGTTTGCTCTCACCTACTGCAACAGATTGAACTTAGGAAAGGTGTGACTTCCAAGCACACTTGTATGTTGTCCACTTTCAGAGGGTTAACTGATCTCCTCACAATCATAGAATCATAGAATCACAAGGTTGGAAATGACCTACAAGATCATCCAGTCCGACCGTCCTCTCATTACCATTGCCAGCACAAGCACTAAACCACATCTCACAGCACGTCATCCAGGCACCTCTTGAACACTGCCAGGGACGGCAACTCCACCACCTCCCTGGGCAGCCATTCCAGTGCCTGACCACTCTGAGAGAAAAAGTTTTTTCTCATGTCCAACCTAAACCTCTTCTGATACAACTTGCAGCCATTTCCCCAGGTCCTGTTCATTGCCTGGGAGAAGAGGCCAAATCCCTCTTCACCCCAACCTCCCTTCAGGAAGTTGTAGAGTGCAATGAAGTCTCCCCTGAGCCTCCTCTTCTGCAGACTGAACAATCCCAGCTCCCTCAGCTGCTCCTCATAAACTTGTGCTCCAGACCCCTCACCAGTTTTGCTGCCCTTCTGTGGACATGCTCTAGGGCCTCAATGTCTTTCCTGTAATGAGGGGCCCAAAACTGAACACAATACTTGAGGTGCAGAGATATAGTAATAAGCTCCCTAAGCCCACTCTAAGAAAGGACAAAGCAAGAGTAGGTAACTAATAAAAATGATTGTGTTGTAGCAAAGAGTTAATATGCAAAGAAAGCCTGGATCTTAGATTTTTCTGTATTGAAGACCGCACCTGCACTCATTAGCAGCACCACAGCAGTACCTTCTCTGCCCCTGAGATCAGCTGGCACAGCCTGTCCATGTCTCTGTTACTCAGCTTCACGAACTCCAAAATGAGATGACTACATGGTTGATTGCTGAGCTGCAGAGCTGCCCAGGAAGCAAGCAGCAGCAGCTTGACAGTGCGGGGCTGAGCTCCAGTGCCCTTGCCCTGGTATTACTTACTATGTGTGATTGTAGATCTACTAACAACACGTCTACAAAGTGTTACACCCTAATCTGAAATAGTCACACTAGGCTCCCTATTTCAGCAGGGAGAATGATTCATCTGATCTGTCCCAGGCATCCCTTAGGTTAACGTGAGTCACTTTCTAGATGTACCTATTTCTACCATTATATGATTATCCCAGACCTGAGCTTAGGGAAAACGATTTCTAATCCCAGAGAAGGATATAGCAGCAAGATCTGTGCAAGTACTCACCCTCTGTAACTGACAGACACTAATCATTGGAAAACATGTCTAAATGAGGTGAATCACAGAATAACTCATTGCTGTCACGCTTTGTGCTTTCCTTCGATATGAATCCTCTTGCATTTACATAAGCGTGGTCCAGCAGCGAAGCACCGCAGTGTGTGAGCTGAATTTCCTCAAACCTGGTAAGTGAGTGTGGGCTGTAAGCTGCGTACACCTGCAGTGGGGGTGGGTGCAGAGCAGCACGTGCTTGGGGAATGCACAGGAGAGCCTTTACACAGACTGCTCTGCAGGGTGACACAGGCTGGTGTCAGCAGCCTGGAACTGGAGCAGTTCCCCTCTTAGGCTTACGCAAAGAGAAAAGAAGCTGAGAACCAATTTGGCCCTCACTTTGCCATATAACATGTATCTAATGACTTAAAGGCTGGTTCCTCACCAGCAACAAGGGAAAACAGCTTTCACTTTTGTCCTGTTCTCTGCTGTGGATGCACATGCCTTTGGGACAGTCTGGTTCACAACTCTGTGTATCATTCCTCACACATACAAGGTAAAGATCAGCACTTAATGACCCCTCACCTTCTCCATCCCTTCAGGAACTGGGAAGCTTACTGGATGGCAGAATTTACTTTTGTAAAGTACCTTGCCAACCCTGAAGTGTGCTAGAGAAAGCCTTAATTGCTACTTTCTAAGCAATGTTTTCCCCTTCATTAGTTGTGTTTGTTTCTTTTATCATGTGTGCTTGCTGTATGTTTTGTCATTTCCAGGTCAGAAGTGGCATTAATTATTAAATTTATCATAGGCAGAAAAACATTAAATATTTAAATTCCTCATCCTCCAAAGCCTCTGTAATGGGGTGCGTGCTGATTACCCACACCAGAACTAAAGACAGCAACAATGAGACCTTTTGTGATTCGCTGCCTCTCCTCAGCTGTGAGGAGCAATGGAAGGAACAAATGTGGATTCAGGCTGTCGCGTACATCCCTCGGTGAGAGATATAAATAGGATGGGATAAATAATAAATGTACTGTGGCTGGACACAGTTTGCTTATTTGTGTCCTTAGCTAGACATCTTTTAGAGCCTCATTTCCAATAAAGAAAATGTTTTTTGTGTCTGGAATAGAAAGTGAAATGAGTGAAAATCTCCCTTGTTCTGTTTGTGGTTTCTGGTCTTGAAACTGTGGCCTGAGTTTGTGCCGTTCAGCTGCAGGGCCTGGTGCAGCCATCAACTGCTAACATAAACACCTGTGCACTGACACTGCAGGACTCGTATGGTACATGAGGGAATAGGTACTTCTGGCATCAACCACTCACTCCTTAGGGAATGTCTCCGAGTCTTCCAATAATTCTTTGCAAGTTTTGTTTATTAAATTATGAAGGCGTGGTTTTACAAAGCTGGATGGATTTACCAGCAAGGGAAGACCAAGGGAAGATGTGCAGAGACATTTGTACTGTTCTGAGCTTCCTCAGCTCAAGCAAATTAGAAGACATTGCATCTGCAACTGGAAGGAGGAAATACTACAGAGCTCTTTGAAAGAAGGAAGACAGGATCACTCCTCTCCTTCTATTCTCCTTATTTTCAGTATCACTGGTTGTTAAAGTACTATGATGATACGCTGATGTCATTGAAAGAGAATAAAGGAGTAATAGGTGTAGAGCAAGGAAGTAACAAGATTTTATTCTACATAAGCAAAGCTTTAGTGTTCAGACATTACTTTGTACTCAGAAGAATATCGCAAAACCTGCTTGTTAAAGTTTGCTGTGAATCTTTGTATCTCTTCTTAACCCAGCTACTCCAGAAGAGGCATTTCTGCCTGACCATACCACTCTCCTACCTCTGCCCTCAGGAGGCTCTGTTGCTCTGGTACTCTAGCAGGATGTTGCAGACCTGCACCTTCTGCGTTCTGTATGCACTAAACCAAGTATCTCTGGTAGTTTGGACAGTGTCAGCATGATTAAGAAACAACAGCAATGCATCAGTTCTATTTCTCAATATTAAATAAGATAGGTTTTAAAAAGCTGTTTCTGAACAATTTTTTTCTTTTGCTTTGTTTTACTTTGAAATATGTTTCTTAATACCAAAATAAAAGCCAAATCCCAAGAGTCAAGCAGCTATAATCACTTTCTTTCTTCACTCTCTATGTTGGGTCACTTTGGTTTACTCTCAGCAGCACAGTGGAAAGCTATGACACTATTCTCTTGTGAAGTACACTGCAGGCAGGTGTCTGGGGAATGCATAATTTCCCTTCATCAGCGGTTGCTCTCCATGAGTCTCTCAGTTCAGACTATGATAAGTGTTAAATCTGAAGTTAACACTGCAGAGAGATCCTTAGTGTATTCTTTCAAGTTATTAAAATTATCTGCCCTTTTGTGATACATCGTTATTGCAGTGATTATCTTTCTAGCAGGGATCATTAAAGAGGATATTAATTGCACATAATTTTATTTTAATGTCATTATTACAATGAAGAACAGATAAATTATTACTGCTTGTAGTATTTTAAGATGATAAAAAAAATGCATCTCCAAAATTAGGAAAGTTGAGTAGTTGAAAGACTGTTCTTCAACTTCTGTCTTTTGTACTGCTCTTAATAGCCTGTGTTCAGCTGATAGGGAAGTCATTTTGCAGTGCTCCTACACTGTAATTGAGTTGCTAAAATATTCTGCAAATTTGATGGTTTCTGTTCCAAGTCATAGCATGAACTCTTGGTTTGTGGTAATTCTGGAAAATGAGTTTGGCAAGGCAGAAATCTGATCAAAAAGAATGAATGGTATCTTTACGATTGGTATTATCTACCATGCAAGTAGCCAGATCGCAATCACACAGTCTTGTCTGCTAGCTTTGGCCTTTCCTTCTTCCACTTCTGTTTTCTTTTAATAGAACAACAGGTGATGGCCTTACATTGCGACAGGGGAGATTCAGGATGGATATTAGGAAAGATTTCTTCTCAGAAATGGTGAAGCATTGGCACAGGCTGCCCAGGGAGCTGGTGGGGTCACCATCCATGGAGGTGTTTAAGAAATGTGGAGATGTGGCACTGAGGGACACAGTTCTGTGGGCAGCGTGGATCAACAGCTGGACTAGGTGATCTTAGTGGTCCTTTCCAACCTTCATCATTCTATGATTCTTCCATTTGGGTTGGACAAGCAGCATATTCCAGAACTCCAGATCTCCACATTATTAGCAGTGACTTAATTACAAGATTTCTCATACAGTGCTAACCCATAGAATCACAGAACCCAATGGCTGCTTTCTAAACCTGCGCCATTCACAACATAGAAATGTCTCCGATTCAGGATCTGCAGCTAGAATTTGGAGTACTGGGTTAGCTTTGATAGACAATTTACTGAGTGAAGATGATGGCAGACTCTGAGCTTTTCTTTAGTTCATATAAGGTGTCCTCAAAGAAGAGGGTGGAGGCCCACACTCAGAAATCCTCCACTTCTAGCTTTCCTATATGCATAACTTTTATCTTGCCTATGAGACTTTAAGCATCACTCACCAGGGTGTATTTTGGGGATTTTCTCTCTCTGAAATTGCTGCTTTTGGCAAAGAAATAATCATAATGATAGAAACAGAAAACTACGTGCTGGTAGAATGACTTTCTGCATTCTCCTCTGGTTTTCCTCCTTTTCTTAGCCATAGTGTGCAATATGGAAATAAAACAACAACAGGATATAATGTTTCTAGAGCCCACTCTAGAAACAAGGCTTGCTAAGCAATGCCTTCCTTGTCCTCACAGACGAGATGCCCAACCTTCCTGCATTGGAAGATCATACACACCGTGATCACTCCTTGTTTCTGGCATCTGCTTTTTCCTGAATCTCTGTGCTGTCCTTGAAAGGCTAGAAAAAATATTCAGAGGCAGGCAGACGGGCAGCACGTTGGCTACAAAAATCCACACTTTTCTCCTGCTTCAGCAAGCCTCTTCCTAAAGAAATGTGAACATAAACTTGGAAAATATCTAACACAATTTATGGAATGTGGTGCACCAATAG